TTTTTACAATTATTACAATATCTGCTTCCATGTCACTCTTTGCTGCCAGGGAGTAAAGAGTGTGTAATAAGCCATCCATTTTACTTTTGTACAGTTATATTTTCAACCTTGCAGAATGTGCTAATGGCATGAAGAAAAGCTTAGTCAACTCTTACTGTTTGGAAGGTGGGAATGCGCAGTGTGGTGGCATTGGTGATTATATTGAGTATTTAATGCCCTACAACATTGTAACTGTTTGGTTCCTAGTATAGCACTCTCTTCTTATTGTACCTTTTTACTGCCATGATATTCATGTGTCTCATAAACTCAATGCCTTTATTCTGGTATTTTCAAAAAAGCTGTAGGGAGTTAGGTATCAATTCCCATTGCCATTCATTGACACGTGGGCACCTACCTCCATTAGCCTCCTAAATCCCAGTCTTAAGTCAGATTTAAAAATCGTTCCAGTAAGTGGTTTTGATAGAAATTTCAAGACATTATATTGAAAAAAATCTTAATGTTCAGGCTAGCTAAATTATACCACTGTGCACTAATACCTGGAAAAATCTTTGAATTTATTCATCATGAGTGATGTAGTTGTTCTGCTCTTATATTTGTTTTAAGATCCCGTATAAGAATTTGAGAGGGATTTTTTTAGTAACATATGATGAGATCCACAACAGTTGTTTAACTCCTACATCTTTCACCACATTAAAGTATTACTTTTTGGGGAGTATATAGGTGATGTATTGATAGTAAATAGGGACAGGTTTAAACCTGACTTCCAAGCCTGTGTGGCTGGCAAAGATACAGGAATTTGTTCCTACCTCCCTTGGATTTCCAGTTTCATTTCCTGAATAAGCCATAAATTGTTGCTCACCCTGTCAGAGAAACTTATATAATGGTAGTGGCAAAAGTATTAAGAATATGCCCAGAATGGAATACAGCTTCACTTTGTTTTTCAGGTACATTGTATCAGCACCGAGTTTACCCCACGTAAACATGGAGGTGAAAAAGGAGTTCCTTTTAGGATTCAGGTTGACACTTTTAAGCAGACTGAAAATGGAGAATACACAGATCATTTGCATTCAGCCAGCTGCCAAATCAAAGTTTTTAAGGTAATAGTTGTAAATAATGGTCCCCAATAAATTTTTTAGACATAGAAAACATGTTTACATTATAATGGCTGATTTTTAGGTCCATATTTCAGTTGCAAAGCTGCTTTCTGTCTGCTTGTTCATTTAACTATTCATTTTTAGCCAAAAGGAGCAGACAGGAAACAGAAAACAGACAGAGAAAAGATGGAGAAGCGAACTGCACATGAAAAAGAAAAGTATCAACCTTCGTATGACACCACAATCCTCTCAGAGGTAACACCATGGAATTGCATGTATTTATGAAGAAAAATTATCTATATACAATATATGAAATATTAGCAGTAAATAAATTACATTCTCAAAATGGGGGGAGAGTTACAGCATACATAGACAAAGGTAGGCTTTTTAATATGACAAACTTGTCCCAAATTAAAACACCAGTAACCTTTTAAGATTCTGCTTAGTAAATTTCACTTGGCTATATAGTAGATATTGTATTCAAATACCCTTGGATAGAGCACTGTTTGTGCTGAATTCTAAAACAAGTCTCATGTACAGATCTAAAAACCTTGCAGCTAAAAAACAAAAACTGGGGTTTAGGATTTATTTATACATGTCAAATTTGAGCTCAAAACCATGTTTTTAGAGACTGAGTTTATGGCTATAGCCTCACTGGGTATTTGCATTTTCTTTTTATTTAAACACCAGTGCGTTCTATACAGTTTTCTAAAGATTGCAAAAGTTTTTAAAAGGCTTTTAGATCTTTCCTCACTGTATAATGAAAAGAAATTGATCCAAATCTTTGGTGTTTGTCCAGATGAGGCTTGAGCCTATAATTGAAGATGCAGTTGAACATGAGCAGAAAAAGTCCAGCAAGCGGACTTTGCCAGCAGACTGCGGTGATTCTCTGGCAAAGCGAGGCACTGTAAGGGACTTCTGCTTACCTTTTCATTGTGCAAGATACCTTGTGCAGTGTTAGATATAGGAGAAACTTCCATGATCAAAAATAAAAACATTTTGACTGCCTTGGCTTAATTTCATTCACTCTTGTTTACACCAATTACTCTGTTTCAGTGAGGAATGCTTCCTAAATCTAACACTTAAGACAAATTGTTGCAGAGGGACTGCGTGACTCTTTAATATTTAAAAAAAAAATCTTTCAGTTTATACCTGCATTTCCTTTATTGAAATAGCTAGATGTTTTTTAAAAGCTATTTGCTTTCTTTATATATATATATGTAATCAGTGAAAGTAAAGATAATAGCAAAATTTAGTTACAGCATATATGTTTTGTCCCATATTTCCACCTGCGTTTAATGTAAGTTTCCATATACATCTGTACTTTTAAAGCCCCATGTATTGTTGCAGAGAGGTTGTTTGTAGTAATATTACTTTGTTTCCTCTGGCTCTCCGCATCTTGTTCTCCTTGTGCTCTCTCAGATACAGCAAGGCTTAATGTTATTGAGCACTACTTTTTCTCACAGCATGTGGACCCTCTATTTAATCCTGTATCTGTCTGCTTCAAAGAAGCAAATATGTATATTTTACACTTTCCCTATCAAGTTTTAACCTTCCAGGTGTTTAAACTGACACTTATGGTGAACGATAAATATTTTCCAATATCTTTATTTCTAAGATAGATCTTAGCAACTTATTTGTTTGGGCAAGTCATGATCCTGCATCTAACTGTTGGTAAATTTGGTCATATATTAATGTCCACCTGTGAAAGTCAATTATTTGACTTAATTCACTGAACAAGCAAGTTTTGTTTGTATTTCCTTGACACCTCTTCCCCTAAAGCACTTAGGTGACAATTAGCTGACTTTTGTCCATCAGTATTTCCCTCCCCACTTTGTCATCCCTTTGTGTGCTATTCAAAATTCTGCTTGTACATTTCTCAAGGCAAGGGACCTGTTCATTCTTTGTTTATGAAATGCCCCACACAACTGAGGCGCTATAATCGAGCACTGTAAACAGTGGGATGAATTCTTTGGAGAATTTTGTTTTACCTGATGTTGTAGTAAACACTGGGTTGTCTGGAATTACCTAAAGTTTATAGTAAAATATTGGCAATCCAGAATACCTAGTTCCTTAGTTGAAGCTGTTGCATTTCTTCTGCAGTATCCATTGTCAACCAAGACATTCTTCTGCTGCTGGACAGGATGTCCATCAGCAGATGTATACAGGGGAAACAAAAAAAATCAGTGCTCAACATGTGTCTCTCCCTATAAAGCATGTTAACATTTCTAATTAGGTGGAGGCAGCTCTTTCAGATGGCAAGGCTCGACTTCCAGTGTTTACGTTTTTGAACCTCTTTTTCCTTTCTGACTAAATTAGGTATTTTAGAGTATGGTAATGCCCAGGGAGTTCTTCTCCCCGTGCTCAGTGAATCTCTCTTTGGATGTGGCCTCCTGCTAAGTGCATATTGCTGCTGCTAGTTGTCAGGCAGGTGTCGTCCTGTGGGAAGGAGATCTCCAGTTTGCGTCCCTCTTAAGTGCTGGAAAGCCAGAGCTTAGTCTCTAGAGAAAGATAGAACTTCCCTTACATTTGGCAAAAATGGACCTAGCCCTTTTCATAATGATTTCATTAGGTCTTCACTACTCTTTCTTCTCTTGTCAAGACTCTTTAAGCCCAGGAGACTTGTTGTTGTTTTTAATCCTGCATTTCATGTCTTCTCTGTCTCAAGGGAGGTCCTGTAGAACTACAGGCTGAAGGCTTTCAGTGATTAAAGGGCTCTGTTATGAGCCATACTTCTCAAACTTCCTAATCTTTGCAAATGTGGAGTTTATAATATGCTGAATGTTAAGTTTTGCAAGTGTAAGGCTTGTACTGTACAGAGCTTAATTCTTTTAAACAAAAGTTAATTGAAATACAAAATTAGAATACAAAAACTTCAGTTCATAGTACACTTCAGTTTTTGACTTGTTTATGTAATGGGGTACATGGGCTGCTCATGCAATATTGTGTCTAACTATACTGAACCTCCGCTTAACTCTTTGCTGAAGCACAGGCTAGAGTTCTGTCTTGTAAGGACTTTTCAGAAACACATGACAGTTAAACTTCAGGGCTATTATATGTAAACCTTGATAAATGGATGCTAATAGTTCCCAGTCAGCTTCAGAGAGTGAGTACCATACATTTTCTTAGTAAAACAAACATTTAATGCACACAAAACACTTGTAAACAGCATAAAACATGGTAAATAGTATTTGGAATGCTGTGAATAACTTTTAAATAAAAGCTATTAAACAGTAAATCTGCTGGTGTTCCTTATACAGACTTCCCCCTTTTATTTCTGTTACAAACATTCAAATACAAGGTTTTAATACAACGTTTTCTGTACATTAGTGCACCTATCAAAACGCATTCCCCTCTGATCTTCAAACAGGTGCTTTCTCGCTCTTTGTAGCGTGACCATAGTATGTCATCTGGACTCTTCAGAGCCTGAGAAATGGCAGCATTTCAGTCCTTTCAAACACTGTAGAACCCTGTCAGCAAACAATGTGGGCCTCCACAGCTAGCAGCATTCTAAACCTTGGGTTAATAGCTGACAGGTGCTCTCAGTTGTGGGGAAACAGAAATCTGCAGCCTGTGTCCAAGGTGGTACAGGGATTGGGATCCAGCCCTCACAGCAGATTGACACAGAACCATGAGATTATCACCTGTTGAGTCCATGGGGCTATTTTTAACACCTCTGTTTATAACCACTCCATCCACTGCTCTCTGGTTGGCTCAGCTCTCTGAGGGTGACTAGAATATGACTGGTAGGTGAGTAGCCCACAGTGAAAACTTCCTATACAGCCTCAGAACAGCAACTGAGAATGTCTGGTAACTACCACTCTGTTCTGGAAGTTTTTGGGTCTTTGAGTTACCATGCCCTACTCTCTGCACATGTGCAGACACTCAGTATCCAAGTAAGATCCTCCATGTGACCATATCTCCTTCCTCCACACTGCTGCATTCTCTTCCACTCCTCTGGAGAAACAAAGCCAAACGATGCAGTATAAAGTATATGGGTGGGTTATACTTAATTTTAAGGTTATCATAGTAAACTTTGCTTGGCCCTATAGCATGTACCTAGTACTTCTTTTATGCTTGTTTCTTCTTAAATGCATCTTTTAATATATTCAATTTACATGCCAAAAGTACAAGATGTGCAGTATGGCTGATTTAGCATTCTGGGGACAGTAACATCCTCATTTTCTGACTCTGTGTTTAAAGTAATTTATTACATGAACAGCATTTTTAATTGTATATGGTCATGTTAGACTAAAAGCTATTTGGGATAGGACCCCTATATTTTTATATGTTCTTTGACATGCCATTATGGGGGCTCTATAAATAGTCATGCTGATCAAGCAGCACACTCTAAATCTGAAAAGTGACTCTGTTCCTGAGAATAAGGATCTTATTTTGGGTAGTCATAAAAAGGCCTCTAATTCTTTTTGTTCACTGCTGTAGTTATGATACTTTGGATAGGGAGTGAACTTCTCACAGGACCCACAATCTTTGACTTTTTAGGTACCTTCTCAAAGCATGAATTCAGAGTGAATTTCAGTGTTCTGAGAGTAGGGAGAAAACAGCTCTGGGAAGTGGCTCCAAAGGTCCCTAATCCATGAACTATTGGAACTCATTTACAAAACTTTTCTTAAACATTACATGAATATATTGTCTCATACTATAGAATTAGAATTTATAATCCCCATTCCATGATGTGATATCTTTGAGCTACAATGTATCTTTAGATAGGTGTTTTTTCCCCCTCAAAGTATTTTATCAAAAACTTTTTTTTTAATTATTTTTATCAACCCTGGTATATTACAAGACAGAATAATGGAGGATTGTTCCATGGATACAAGTTTTAGTTATTGCAGATGTGATTAAAGCAACTGTGGCTTGTTGGAAAGTATTTCTGGTTCTTCTGCAAGACATCATAGATGTATATAACAATGCTGACATCTATCTTGCTGTTGTCATGTGATATTTTTAATCAATTCTTATATAAACATACTTTCTATAAAACAAGGCTATTTAAAGAGAAATGAAGTTCATGTGAGACTTTAGGGTCTGAAGTCAGTGGCTTAAAAGAAAGTAAGGGTGAACAAATATTAGGTCATTGAAAGGTTGAGAATATTAGTAGTTTTTGAAAGTCATTACACTGAAATTAGGGATATTCATTTGTTTTACTATTTTGATGTCAAATAGAAGACGTTTGATAAGTAGCAACCACTTTACTGTGCAGTTGTGGACACACACATCATTGTCTTGCCTCTGACTGGCTGTCTTGTATATTCATTTTCTTGATCATTTTAATATATTGTCAACAGTAATGGCAGCATGGCTTAATGTAAAGTGGCACAGTGAGAGCAACATACAGCTTTTAATGTGCAAATTGTGTAACTATTAGGGCTGCCAATTGCAGTTAACTCATGTGATTAACTCAAAAAAATTTACTCATAAAAAAATTAATCTCAATTAATCGCACTGTTAAACAATAGAATACTAATTGAAATTTATTAAATATTTTTGTATGTTTTTCTACATTTTCAAATATATTGATTTCTATTGCAATAGAATGCAAAGTGTACAGTGCTCACTTTATATTATTTTTTATTACAAATATTTGCACTGTAAAAAATGATAAACAAGAAATAGTATTTTTCAATTCACCGAATACAGGTACTGTAGTGCAATCTCTTTATCATGAAAGTTGAACTTACAAATGTAGAATTATGTACAAAAAAAACCTTTATTTTTGAATGCAATGTAAAACATTAGCGCCTACAAGTCCACTCAGTCCTACATCAGCAAATTGCTAAGATAAACAAGTTTGGTTACAAGTGGCAGGAGATAATGCTGCCCACTTCTTGTTTACAATGTCACCTGAAAATGAGAACAGCATGGAACTGTCGTAGCCGGTGTTGCAAGATATTTACGTGCCAGATGCGCTAAAAATTCATATGTCCCTTCATGCTACAACCACCATTCCAGAAGACATGCGTCCATGCGGATGACGGGTTCTGCTTGATAACGATCCAAAGCAGAGCGGACCAACGCATGTTCATTTTCATCATCTGAGTCAGATGCCACCATCAGAAGGTTGATTTTCTTTTTTGATGGTTCAAGTTCTGTAGTTTCCGTATCTGAGTGTTGCTCTTTTAAGACTTCTGAAAGCATGCGCCACACCTCGTCCCTCTCAGATTTTGGAAGGCACTTCAGATTCTGAAACCTTGGGTTGAGTGCTGTATCTATCCTTAGAAATCTCATATTGGTACCTTCTTTGCATTTTGTCAAATCTGCTGTGACAGTGTTCTTAAAACGAACATGCTGGGTCATCATCCGAGACAACTATAACATGGAATATATGGCAGAATGTGTGTAAAACAGAGTAGGAGACATACAATTCTTCCCAAAGGAATTCAGTCACAAATTTAATTAACACATTATTTTTTTTAAGGAGCATCATACGTATGGAAGCATGTCCTCTGGAATAGTGGCCAAAGCATGAAGGGGCATATGTATGTTTAGCATATCTGGCGCAGTCCTTGCAATGCTGGCTACAAAAGTGCCATGCGAACGCCTGTTCTTACTTTCAGGTGACATTGTAAATAAGAAGCAGTCAGCGGTATCTCCCATAAATGTAAACAAACTTGTTCTCTAAGCGATTGGCTGAACAAGAAATAGGACTGAATGGACCTGCAGGTTCTAAAGTTTTACATTGTTTTGTTTTTGAGTGCAATTATGTAACACAAAAAAATCTACATTTGTAAGTTGCGTTTTCACAATAGAGAGTGCACTACAGTACTTGTATGAGGTGAATTGAAAAATACTATTTCTTTTATTTTTACAGTGCAAATATTTGTAATAAAATATAAAGTGAGCATTGTACATTTTGTATTGTGTTGTAATAGAAATCAATATATTTGAAAATGTAGAAAACATCCAAAAATATTTAAATAAATGGTATTCTATTATTTAACAGTGCAATTAATCGAGCGATTCATTATTTTTAATTGCTTGACTGCCCTAGTAAATATTCCTCATTTTGGGGGGGGGACCTTGAAAATTTAAGCAAAACAAGTATGTTATAACTATGTTTATGTTTTAGAGTACTGGAAAAGGACCGAGTAAGCATTATCATTACGGCCCTACCAAATTCACAGCCACGAAAAATGTGTCACGGACTGTGAAATCTGGTGTTTTGTGCACTTTCACCCTATATTCTACAGATTTCACCTGGGAGACCAGCACTTCTGAAATTTGGGGGTCCTGACCCAAAAGCGAGTTGCAGGGGGGTCACAAGGTTATTTTATGGGGCAGCGCAAAAGTAAGTGTGGTAATACTATACCAGATCATCTTTACTTCTGTGCTTCAGAGCTGAGTGGCTTGAGAGTGGCAGCTGCTGACGGAGGGCCAAGCTCTGCAGGCAGCAGTGCAGAAGGATGGCAATACCATATCATGCCTTACTTCTGCGCTGCTAGTGGCGGTAGCTCTGCTTTCAGAGCTGAGCTCCCGGCCTGCAACCGCTGCTCTCCAGCTGCACAGCTCTGAAGGCAGCGCCGCCATCAGCAGCAGCACAGAAGTAAGGATAGCAGTACTGCAACCCTCCCTCCCCCGCCCCCATAACTCGTTTTTGGTTAGGAGCCCTACAATTACAACACTGTGAAATTTCAGATTTAAATAGCTGAAATCATGAAATTTAAGGTTTTAAAAATCCTATGGCCGTGAAATTGACTAAAATGGACCGTGAATTTGGTAGGGCCCTATCGCATAGTATTTTATCACAATTTATGGTATCAGAAAATTCAAGTTTTTTGAACAGTAACACTTCAGGAAAGCAGCCAAAGAGCAAGACAGATGTAATTCTTGTCTTGTTTATAGTGAAGTCTCCTGGACTTTGGGGATTGAGAATTTGAGAATCTTCAAAGGAAATTACCCCACTGTCCCAACTGAACTGAATGGTTTTTTTTTTTTTTTATTTCTCTTTAAGGCTAGTCAAAAGCCCACTGTGCAATGTTACTTCCAGAACTCCAGAGTCTCAGGTTATTCTGATTTGGTGTAAATACTAAAAAATTAAAATTAAAAAATCTTTGGCAGCTTTAACTAAAGAAATCTACTATAAGTTGTATTAAAATCAAAACCGCTCAAAACACAATGTCCTAGTGGTAAGTACATACAGAAGACACTAGAGCACAGACAGGAGGTAGTAACCTGGCCATGTCATGTTTTAGGGATGTCAGAAATCTTTTACCCTCTAAACTTTCCTCTTAGTGCTAGAGAAATAGATGGCTCGTTAGTTTTATTATTTGTATTGTGGTTGTGCCTAAAGCTCACAATTAGGGATCAAAGCCTCATTGTGTGTGTTGCTGTGTACACACATAATAGAGTCCTTGTCCCTGAGAGCTTAGAGTCTTAGTTTATGATGAGAGACGTCAGGTAGATCTGGCAGAATGGGTGGGGGAGTACCAGATAACAGTGAATGATCATGTTCAGTATGAGTGAAGTCGCAGTCTAGTATGCCCGTGTCGGCTATATCTGTACATGGTAACAATGTGACATTCTTTGTATTAATAAAAGTTATAAGATCACAAATCCCCCTCTAGAGTGAGTCCACTGTATATGTGATTTCCAAGTTTTCCAGCTTTTGAGGTCCCAAGCAGTGTCTCTAGGAACATTAACCAGTTTTAGGATTTTTGGTGTATTCATTGCTGGCAAGTGAAAGACAGACTTCCAACACAAAAAGATTAATAAGCATGTCAAAAAACGTGCAGGCAGCATAAGATTTTTCTCATGTTATTGTCAATAAAAAGGGCCTTTCAGTACTTAAACATATGAGGGATTTCAAGTTCACTGAATCTTCCATGTTTGAAGTGTAGGCACCTGTTAAATTCTGGGACTTACTGTTTAGCTCTTGCTTTTCAGGGACAAGAAATAGCTTTAAAAACTGCCTTAAAGAAACTTTCGCTTATATTTGGGTTAACGGACAATCGTGAAGAGTGTATCAGAAACCTGTGTTGGCATGTCTAGCATGGTCTTGGCCTTCTGTTCATTTAATCTTTGTTTGGCTGCTTGTTTTACAGTTTATCCATGTGTCCTTGCACTTTTCCTTATTAAAAGCTAAATCTTTTTTAAAAATTAATTTTATTTTTAATAGATTATAATAAAGCATTTGGAGCACTAAACACCAGTGTCATTTTAAAGGGCCTTTATCCTGGCTGGTAGATTTTTAAAAAAATTGACCTAACTTGATAGTGGGTTTATCAGTAAATGCTTCTGATGAATTACTACTTCATGAATAAAACTCCCAGCTTAGCATGAAAGAGAAAGCAAACCTGCATGTGGGCATCAATTTAGTCTTCGACGAAATAACAATAGTTTGAAAAAGAAATACTGCTAGACATCTCAGAGTAACAGCTAATGTGAGCACTGTCAGGGTAGGCACCTTTTAAGCTTATGGACTGAGTACTGAAATCTGGTTTCTCAGCTTTGCTTATACTCATTATCCCTGAACCTTCTTGTAGCCATTTGCTGCCTATTGGGGTTGATTTGTGCAGATTTCAGATGTCCTTTTTTTTTGTTTGTTTGTTTTAATAATCTCTGCAGTCCTTCCATCAGCTCCATCCCCACCACCTTCATTGTGTCATTAGAAAGCAATAATCAAGTTAATAATAAATAGGAATCTCCTTCATGGAACAGAAAAAATAAGTAAAACAGCCTTGGTTTAGTTAAAATTCCTGGTCAGGATCAGATACATGCATGGAACAAGTGGGGTGCAGGAAACTTAATTTGAAAACTCAGATTAAAATTCAACAAGAGTGAACTCAGGGCTTTTCAGTGTAGGACTACATGCCAAAGTGACAAGGTTTTACGATAAACTTATTGTTTAATTCTTTTCTCTATCTTCAGTGCTCACCATGGCCTGATACTCCTACGGCATTTGTAAACAATAGCCCTACCCCAACACCAACTTTTACCTCTGCTCAACATAGTACCTACAGTGTCCCAGACAGGTAAGTTTCTTTTCTGTAGTTTAATTAGAAGTGTTTTTTAAAAAATCAATCATATGCTTAAAGCATTTTCCTTTAATCTGAATGTAGATATGTATAAATATGAAAGCTTGACTACCAATCCCCAAAATTAATTTGAGTGGGGGGAAATGTAGAACTTTGGCCAACATTTTTCAGAACTCTGAAACTTTTGGCATTATTTTTTTCAATTGTAAAATTATTCCTCCAGCCCCAGGAATCATATTTTCCCTGCTCAGTATCCATTGCTGGAAACTTAACTTATTGACCATAGCACAATTCCTAGCAAGTTCTTTTCCTTTTAACTGGGGTACTTACTAAGGCCTTATCTACACAAAAGTTGGATCACTTAAACTGTATCAGCGAAGTTACAGCAGTACAACCCCCCTCGTGTGGACAGTAATATTGGTATAAGTGCTTGTACCACTATAGCTTTATTCCTGTAAGGGAAGGGGGATACTACAGTAAATCTAATCCATGAAATTCACAGTGAAATACCAGTAATAGCTGCTAAATCAATTACTTATCTTCCTTCCTTCATTTAAAGCGGGGGGGAGGAGGGAGAGTCAGATGAGATAGCACAACTAAAGATGAGGGACCTAGGGGAAGATTTATGATCAAGAGTGTTGTCTTTCTCTCCCCACCTTTCTTTTGTCTTTCTACTTTTTCATCTTCAAGTGTGGTGGCTTACTTGCAGTAGGTGCTGTAGTTGAAGCACTTACAGAAAACATTAATATGCATCTCTTTCTTATGATGGTGTTTGGGAAGGAGATGCCGTGACAGTGGCAGATTACAGATTTTTCCCTTCAGACTTGGCCTAATGGTGTAGGGGGGGAAGAACGTTTGACAGAAGCGTTTTCTGCAGAGAAAAGCTTAAAGTACACACAGTAGCTCTGAAACTTTAGGCTCTGCTGGAAAGGATTGCTTAGTAATCTAAATATCAGGTTTTAAATATTTCATTTGTCTTGTAGAAATGTGTTTCACATTTTGGTATGGTTGGCACATCCTTTAGTTTAAGCCTCAAAATAGAGCTCCATGCCAGACTCTATATCAGGTTCAGTTTTTAAAGTCTAATCTGAAAGACTATCTGATCTGAATGTTATGTAAGAGTAGAGGTTAGCCTACTATTGTATCTCATGTTTTGCTCTGGCTGACTGATGCCCTCCATGTCAGACACCTCTGCAGTGGTGCCATATGTATAAAATTATAAGAAACTGGGGTGAAAGGTGCTATATAAATGTGAAGTATTGGTGTAATTTACTGTCACTAATGCAACATTCAGGAGAACCACTAATTTTTTTCAGGGTGTTCAGAAAGCTGATCCTGGCATCTCTACCTTTTTTGTGACTGACCCTGTGCATCAGAGGATGGACAGCACCTCTCTTACCTCTTCAATCCTGTGACCACTATTCATTTCTTCCTTTTAAGATAGATGGTTGGATGTGTGAGTTTATTATGGGTGCTGCTTTTTCAGTTGACTAGCAGTGATTAGATTAGGAACCAAGTGATTTGCAGTCTAAGTGATGATATTCCTCTTTCTTACAGCATATCTCCACCAGACCAGTTTATTCCCTGAGTGGTCTTTAACCTAGGAATCATGCTGCTGCCATAAAATAGGGACTTTTTTTTATCATTTTGGAAATTGAAAGTTACCTTTATCAGTAATGCTTGAATGGTTTTATTCTCTTAACTTTTAAAAATCCAGTAATATCATTATTTTTGTTCCACCTCTCCACCGTAGCAATTCTTCCTCCCCAAATCATCAAGGAGATGGAACTTCTCAAGGGTCTGGAGATGTGAGTATCTATATTGCTGTTTGGTCTTCATTACACAATGCAAACCTTGTACCTAATTGCTGAATAATCAGTGAAGTGGAGGTGATTCATACTGATTTCATTATTGGTGTGTTCTGATGAAAGGAAATGAGATACATAATTGTTTTTAATAATGTAACAAAATTAGTTGACTTTTTTATTTGTTTTATAAAAACAATTTAACATCAAAATTGTCTTCTTCAACCCTGTTTCTCACAGCAACTTCAGCCTTCAGCCACAATCCAGGAAACTCAGCAGTGGTTACTCAAACATAGGTTCTCTACCTATACAAGGCTTTTTTCAAATTTCTCAGGTATTTTTTTTTAATGTCTATTTAGAGTTTTCCCTCAAGTTTTGAGTGAGTGTCTTCTCTGAAAAATTACTCTGTAAAAATAGCAGCATGGGGTTGAATATTTAGTGTCTATCTGATTTCTAGGCCAAATGTTCAGTTTTCAGGGAAAAAGCTGCCTTTAACTGCCAGCTCTACAAACTCAAGCTGACACCTAAAAGTGAAACTGGGCGGGCTGGCTGGCTGGCTGGCTGGCTGGCTGGCTGTCTGTCTGTCTGTCTGTCTTCTGCATCACCACCAGTAATGATGGTTCACAGACTCAAATGCTAATTCACTCCTTATTTAGGAAGAGAATGAATCGACACACTGGATTAGACTCGTGGTCTGTCTAGTTCAGTGCTCCCATGTGAGGGCGTAAAGAGTGGAATGGCCTGTGGCAGCACAAAGGAACGTGGCGAATGTCTGACCATAGATTTGGCTCAACCTTCTTCAAATCTTGTGAACTTCTTCAGAACTCCTTTGATTACCTTCTGCTTCAACTGCTGGGATCCTGTTCACTTGACTGGACAGGGTATTGGAGGTTAAACCCCCACCCCTTTAAAATTGCTCCTTAACATGGCAGACTTGAAACCTGTAGGCTTCAAGCCCTGTTCATGCCGTGCTGGACTAGTCCCCCTAAAAGATGGATGCAGTAGGTGCCTCTTCTGCCTTGGAGAATCACACGTACCAAGCAGATGTTCAATGTGCCTGACATTTCCTGCTAGGATATGTTAAGTCATAAGACACAAGGGTCAAACTCCACTTTCCAGAACAATCCATAAAGGTCTGTCTTAGGACCTGAGGAGACGAGCTCCAAAATCTTGCTAGAGCCAGGCTCATTCAGCACCCTGCACAGCAGACAAGATACCAGTGTGGGCAAAACAGCACCAAGAAAGAAACAGGGCACAGCTGCCATGGCACCAAAGCAGATATCATCAGCATCAAAACCGGGACCACCAACTACAGTGTCAAAGTCCAGCACCAACAGGTTGCTTAAAGCATAGTGGTAGAGACTCCAGACAGAACTTTCGGTGTCCTCCCATAAAGACAGGTAATGCAAAGCCTCTGCAGAGAAATCCACCAGGCCTTGCATAGCATTGAGGGCTAGGGAAATGGAGAAGCTTGTGGCACCCAAGACCACACCAGCACTGACCCTGGCTCCAGGACCTACAGTATGCTTGGCATTGGTACCAATGCCTGATGACTTTAAAATATTCCAGGAACTCCCTCTGCAGGTTACTGGAAGTATGGAGGTAGAGACAGCAGTGGTAGGATGTCATATAATTTGGTATTTCTCTTCTATCAGTTCTTGGCCTGGATAATATTACCATTCTGAGAAAGAAGGGGCTGTTTGACCCAACTAGGCCCTGTGGCAGGTGCCAGCCACAATAATGCCCACCATGAGAAGTGGTTGAGAAGAGGTACCAAATAGCTTTTAACAAGGTTTGAGTGTTTCTGTATTCACCCAACCTAGGCTCCTTAGTTGTGTTCGTGGTACAGGAGAAATCTAAGTTGAGCAAGAGTACCATCAAAGACATGGGTGGGTGAGATTTTGTGGCCTGCGTTGTGCGACTAGATGATCATAATGGTCCCTTCTGACCTTAAAGTCTGACTTTGACATGGTCTTGAAAAGGCTTGACCTCTTTGGGAGAAAGTCACATTTTTCTGCCTCTCTGTACAATTGCATGCAGCCAATTGCCAGGTCTTACTGGCCTAATATAACTACTTAACCTAGGACAAGGTGATTCTTCCCCCCCCCCCCGCCCCCTTTCTCGCAGTGCTCCACAAGATGCCAGAGAGGTGGTAAGAAACATAATCAAGGGTTGAAGTTGTGTCAACTGGTAGCCTGGATGACACACCAAGTCACAATTAACATCTCCAGCACTGTGGTGAGATCTGTGGTGATGTGCAGAACTTTGTGGCTCTAAGTATTGGGTATCCCAAGAGAGGTAAAGGTCACAATTGAAGACTTAACCTTTGTGCTCTGTACTCATTAAGACTCAAAGGCCACCTTAAATTCCCCGGGGAATCACACCCCAGCACCATATCACAAGCCATACGGTCCTCACCCGCAGATGAGGCCTTGGATGCCCGCATACCAGCACAAGCATCCTGAATATCAGGCACAGAAAATACCATGGTATGATAGGGTGCCAACCTTCTTCCTCTTTGGCGATGCACACTGCTCCTATGACATGCCACATGCCAGCAAATTTGATTACATAGTTGGGAACCACATCAGAGCTGGTCAAATGAGCATTACCTTCCAAAGCCACCTTGCCTGTTCCACTGGGCATGGTCTGCCATTATATCGGACAGGTGGGTGTTAGAGGTCCTTTCCATGGCTACCCCATCTACTTCCATTCTTCACCCCTGCCCCTCTCATGCAATCAGAGGTGGCCACCTTGCTTTTGGAAACCATAGAGAAAGTTCCAAAGAAATGCAAGGGAAAAGGCTTCTACTCTGTGTTTCCTAATTCCAAAGAGGATGAAGTCCTCCCCCTTCTCCTCTTAGACCTGAGGAGACTCAACAAATACAGACACCATTGCCTTTCAGCCTTTTCATGGCACCTAGAGTATTCATTAAGTGCCAGGAAGTAGTAGGAGCACATTTGAGGGAATTCATGTCTATCCTTACTTGGATGACAGGCTGATCAGATACAGATCCCAGCCTTGGATTAAGTTTTTCTCTCTGTTCCCCCAACTAGAACTCCACATGAGCAATGAGAAATAATCCCTAACATCTCAGACAAGAGATTTTATAGGAGCTGTGTGATCAACTCCCTATCAGCCAGTCTACCTGCCATAGAGCAGAGTCCAGTGTCTCCAGTTGATGTTAAACTACCTGCAGTCAAACCCAATTATGATGGTGTGTGCATGTCTGGAGCTCTTAGGCCACATGTTGCCATGTACATATGCGACACTGCTTGCCAGAATTAATCTTCAGCCCTTACAACTGTCCAGACACCACGTGAACAAAAAAGTCTCAGTCCTGTCCCACATCCTACAAGAGCTGATGTGGCTGGATCCAGTGAACATACAGAAAGGGAACTGACTGTCCCCTACCTGACTGACATTTATCACAAACAATTCAGGGACAAGGTGGGATGCCCTCATGAACCACCTGCAGGTGCAAGACACCTGGGTCCAGGATCTGTGATTACATTTGACCATCTTGAAGCTGAGGGCATCAGACTAGCCTGCATAGTGTTCCTGTCCTTCTTTGGAATTCCATGGTACCAATCCTGACATGTCTGCTATGCACTATATAAAAACAGGGAGGAATGTGATAATCCCCTCTGTACCAGGAAGCCATCAGGCTCTAGAAGCAGTGCCATCACTATATATTTAGCTATTTGCTCTTTGATATCCATTTTGGCCCTTCTTTATTGCCTGCTATAATTTATGCTGCTGTCTGACTTCTCTAGTGTCAAATTTCCAAATTTTGAAGGATAGCGGTTTTGGTTCCAGTAACTTAATGAACCTTGTCATTTCACCACTTTGCTGCCTGGTTCCCCTTTTATTCAGTGGCATGCAGGTCTTCTGAGTCTATTGTTTTCTTAGGTAGTATGCATGCCACTTCTAAGGGTTTTACTTTCTTTACGTTTTGCCTTTAGGGACTTTTTGACTACTCTTATCGTTTTATTAAAATCTGTCTTTCTGAAACTGTCACTGTGTCACTTTTTGGTATCTTATATCCCCCTAGAATTTTGACCCTAATTATATTGTGATCACACTATTACTTAGCAGCTCAGCTAATGACACTTTCAAACTAACTCTTGTGTGTTACTTGAGAATAAGTTGAGAATAGCCTCTCCTCTTGCGTTCTAGAAATAAGCAATCACTTAAAACGTCGAGCAAGTGTTTCTCTAAACTTTGCCCCGCTGTGCCATTTAGTTTATATGTGCATAGTTGAACTTCTTTCTTTCTTTCTTTGGCTTTGCTGCCTCTGTGTTCTCTCAACATTCTGCATTAGGTTTCCTTTCTTGATCATGAGACCAATAACATAACTGTACTTACGGATTTACATTCTTAAAGCTTAGGATTCATATCGATACAAATTCAGCTGCATGGTCCTCTCCACTGAGAATGATTATCTCACTAGACTCTATGGAATCCTTAAGATGCAAGACAACTACTCTCCCTAATTGGCCCAGTCTGTTTTATATAGTTTATAGCCTGGTATTACAGTATTCTACTAACTTTTGTCATTCCACCACATCTCTGTCTATTATATCAGAATCATCTTTTGTTCTGAGGAATTCTAGTTCACTTACTTTTGCTTTTTAAGCTTCTCATTTGTACATAAACATTTGTAAGGTGGCTTTTTTTTGGACAGATGTCTGTGTTTTTTATTTAACACCTTATTCTATGATTTCTCTGAAGTTTCCTCTGGTTTTCCTGTCCCTTGTCTAGATCAGTTGCATTTTGTGCTACCCTGTATTGGCTATTTGTGCTACCCTGTATTGGCTACATAGTACTATTCCTTATAATTACTGCTATCTTTGGAAGATGTCTCTGTACTGCTAGTCTCCTGTCCTCTTCCCCCAAGCTCCTAGTTTAAAAACTCAAATCAAAACCTAATTTATTTTGTGCCATCCGTCTGGTTCCATTTTTATTAAGATGGAGCCACTCCTTCTGTGTAGTCTCCCTTTCCTAAAAAGATCCCCAGTGTCTAATAAATGTAGACCTTTCTGCACCACCTTCTCCACTACACATCAAGACCCTGAAGTTCCTCTGCCAAGATGGAGCTGAATTTTCAGAATATGCCCTCAGTGACATCTGTATAACCTCACTGTCTTCAATAGATTGGCAGAGGGGCATAGGCCTTAAAATCAGAATTCAATGCACTGTTCTGTTGCACAAGAAAGAAATGGAATTTAACATGTTATGTTACTGCTGTGTTGGCTCTACAAGGATCAAAAAATTTGTCACGTAAGCTGATCTGACTGAATACACCGTAGGATGCAGATGTGTCTATTAGAAACGTGCCATTTTTTCATAATCACTTTTCAGAGTAGAACGGCACTTAATATTGTGGTCTTTTTATTGGTTGGCATATGGTAGAAATAGTTATTCCTCTGTAAATGTGGCTGTTGATACCATTTGTGAGACTGCTTTGGTAACTGACTCAAATTAGAGAAGGTTGGAGGTGAAGTGGACATCAGCTGATCTTGTGGCACAGCAGTACATGTTGCCAGAACTTGGTAAATATATGCTGAAGCCCTACTCTCTAAGGTTCTTGATGCAGCTAACATATGGACATAGAGCAACTGTGATGGGTGTCAGAGGAACTTCTTTTTCATCCAAATTTTCTGATATGCACAATCTAGGAAACAGCAATGTAACCAGAGTGTTTTCAGTGCACACAGTCTAGGATAAAGTGTCCCAAAAGCTATACTGTAATATAAGGATCAGCAGGCTGTGATAAACCAACACTTCTATGGGTGTATTTTTTTCCTCCATTTTGCATCTGACTGAAACACATTAGCCCAGGTGTAAATCTCTTAATCTTGTCTTAAGCCAGTTAAACTATGATTTATCTATAGAGCAATCTAATATTTTTAAACCATTTTTACTAAAACAAGTGACACTTTGCAGTCACATTACCTGATTTTCAAAGGTGTTGAATTAAGCTGGAGGTAGGGGTGCTACTTTCTCTGAAAATCAGGTAATTATTTCTTAGTGTTAGCAAGTACTTGTGTGTTTTGCAGGAGTGTTATCAAAATCATCTTTTAGTCTTTGTTTGCTGTCGGTGTTTATCTTGCAGAGTTGCATTGTTTTTCAAGGGCCAATTTTGTAACTTGTTTTTAATGAATATTGGATTCTTTTGAACTTCCTTGTCCTAAAAGAAACTAGCTAAATCTTGCTCTTCTGAATTTCTCCAGGTGCTGATTTATTAAAGCTGACAAGAGAGGACCTGGTACAAATCTGTGGTCCGGCCGATGGCATTCGGCTATATAATGCACTGAAATCCAGGTAAAATGCCAAGTTTACATTTAAGTGTTTTTGTTCAATCACAGTAATGTGCCTTTCTTAGAATAGGGGATTTGGGAGATATGAATTGAGAATTAGGTTGGCATATGCCTGTTTAGCTGTCTCAGGAGTTGGCAGTAATGTGCTCAAAAGAAGACTGTTTTGTGTACACCTTCAGGGCAGGCTACAGATATGATGCAGGCACTGATGAGTTCAAAGGTAGACTGTAAGACTGGTAGCAATGCAGTTGGGCAGTACTGATTTCTTGAAGACGGATGGGTTTGTTGCCAAGAGACAAAACTTCTCATTTAGGTGAGCTATAAAGAACCTAAATTTTTTGAGGTCATGGCTGATAAATAAATACAGAATTCTAATTACAAATGAAACTGATAATACATATTTAGTAACATACTGTCTTTATAAGAGATGTAATTATTGCTATTCAGTAGCTGTGTTCCAGGATTCCATTGTAAGCAAGTCTTGTGTCAGTAATTTTAAAATTGTTGAATTAATTTTTAAATTTAAATTTACCAGCATCTGGCAGACCATCTCAATGGTTCTGAGACTAGATCATTAGATTAAGCCACTGGTGATAATTTGTATGAGGGGTGTGTGTGTGTGGTTTTGGTTTTGGTTTTTTTAAATAGCTTGTAAAGCAGCAAAATTTTAAGTGTATTGTTAATGCAAGGCAACTGAAATAAGATTGATCTAAATCCTTCATACCGTTTTTGGGCAAGTGTGTTTATTTTTAAAATTATATGTATCCTTTGTAAATTGCAGGTCTGTTAGGCCCCGTTTAACAATCTATGTCTGCCAAGAACCATTGAGGAGCATACAACTGGAAAGGCAGCAAGATGCAACCAATGGTGATAACAGCAATGGTGCAATATATGGTATGATCATACAGTGCTCTTTTTATGACTTACTAAGCAATGACAGGTTTGAAATAAACACGTGAGGAGGAAAAAGAGGAGCTGAGAATAGATTTTCAATAAAATATAATAGTTTAGACTAATTTATAAACTGCTAGAATTGTGGCTTTACACATAGCATCGCATCAATAAAATTGTATCCAGAAAGTGAATATGCAGAGGAAAGTGGATTAATGGTGACACAGCAGTTTTAGCATTGCAGAGATGAGTGCACTCCTAAGACTTTAAGCCAGAAGTGGTATATGTGCTTCTATGGTGGAACATACATCACCTTCAAGAATAGAAAATTTAATAAAAAGTAGGCTTTTAAGTGGCTTGAAAAAAATTTAAGGTTTTGTTTTTGTTGCATGGATAATGTAGTTAATGAGCATTCACATGATCCATGGTGGTCTGCCAAGAAATTCACTTTAGGTGAATGTACAACTGTAATTGAAGGAACTTATGTTCATATCCATTTCAATTACTTTTTACTGATAGGACTTCATATACTTGAAATGAAACTAGTGTGGTTTGGATAAGGAAAAATAGCTGAGGAGTGTATTAAAGGATATGATCTTACTAGTGTTTGTTTGTCAGGGAACTGCTCTATTTCCACCACTACTGAGAACGTAACTGAGTACATTACAGAGCAATCACATTAAAGAACAAGTAAATCCACATTGCTCCTATTATTAGAGCCATTGGAACTACTTGAAGCTAAACTTATCTTGCTCTTTCACTTATGTCAACTTTCTGGAGGGAGTGGAGATTCACCCTCCCATCAGATTTCCTGGGGAATGACTGAGGATCGTATACCAGCACTTAAATGCTTTCCAGCCAGGAAACTGGGGCAGAGAGGGAGTATCTGTATGGAGTACAGTAGAACCTCAGAGTTACGAACTACCCAATCAACCACACACCTCATTTGGAATCAGAGACACCCAGCAGAGCTCCTCCCCTCTTTCCCCCAAGCAGCAAATACAGTGCAGTACAGTTAAATGTAAATTACTAAAAAAAAAAGGGAGAACAGCATTTTTTTTGCATATTAAAGTTTCAAAGCTGTATTAAGCCACTGTTCAGTTGTAAACTTTTGAAAGAACAACCACAACGTTTTGTTCAAAGTTACAAACAACCTCCATTCCCAAGGTGTTTGTAACGGAGGTTCTACTGTATGTCCTATGTTAAATAAGATAGAAATTCCTCTTGGATAATTGTAGTTTCTCATTACATTTGGTAATGGCTAACACATCCAAGATTCAAAATTGCTGTGAAAGGAGAGGGAGGGGCATATGCAAATATGTAACTGCTAGAGACTTCTGCCTCTTTTCATTTATTAGAGCATTCCCAGCAACATGTACAACAAATCTGACCAAATATTGATCACAGTTGTTTAAGCGATATTGGTATAAAGCTTTTTAATTTTCATCTCTGGGAACCCACAATTGTATAAATCTGTAAAATTCAAAACCAAGCATTAAGCTGCCCACAGCCATGCTGCTGTTTGGAAAAGAAGAAACTTTGACCATGTTTTATTTTGCTGTACAGTCTCTCTTTTACTATCATATCAAGTTATATAAAATGGAAGGGAGAGATTAAGGCGGAAATCATCTGGGTGGACTCTGTAGAGAGTTTTCTTTGCAAGAAAACTCATGAAGCAAAGTGATTATAGTCTAGTAGCTCAGGCCAAAAATATTATCTGCCTTAAAAATAGAATATGGTAGATAATGTCGTGGATTAAAAGTTTTCCAGTCATTTTTGGCAGAACTAAAATCTGTTTTTAAAAGGTAATTTTATACATGATACTGTAAAATTTGTCCTACGGATGCTTTGAAGGTTGTTTTAGTATCAAAACAAATGCAAACTAGCCCTATTCATAGAACTGTGCTGAAAATTGATCATTCTGATGAGAAATCTGATTGAAGGAAAAGTCATGGTCGTTTGTGCACATGAATGAAATAGAGAATGGGAAGAATCAGTGTTTGCCAAATAAAGGACAACACTGTAGAAAAAGGTATTCAAGTTTCTAAGAAGGTATTGCAGACCAAGGACAATCTAAAACAAACAAACAAAGGGGGACTTTAAAGTGGGGGGATGTAAAATTTTACAACCCTACAGGGATGTGTTTTCATCTAAATAGTTATCAAGGACCGTATAATTCTTATTCCAAGTAAAAAGCTTTTTTTCTTATAGTTTATCATGCAATCTACTTAGAAGAAATGGCAGCCTCAGAAGTCACTCGCAAGCTTGCTTTGGTGTTTAATATTCCTTTGCATCAGATTAATCAGGTTTACAGACAGGGTCCTACTGGTATCCACATCCTCGTTAGTGATCAGGTAACAAAATTTTTTTGTTTAAAAACATTTCCATTGTTTCATTTGCTTTTTTAAATAAATTGTGATCTCAAAACTGACAAGTTTACAAATTAAAGTTGGTAAGTTTTAAGAGTTGTGGTTTATTTTAAATCATGTTTGTATCCACACTTTCTTTAGGCAGTTTTCTCTGAGCAGCACTGCTTTTTTCTCTTGCATAGTATGTAGCATATACTTAATGTCTTCTGATAGTTAGAACTTGTGTTTTTCCACAGCAACAGTGTGACTGGAACCAAAGCCATTTTAAATAAATACATTAGATTAAGGTTCTCCCAAAGGTCAAAAAGACATTCCGTAAAACTCAGAGTAGAATGTGGCTTAACCAGATTCTGGTGAGAGTGGTTATCGTAGTACAAAATTCATTACTGGCAGTATAGTAATGACTAGGGCACAAGGGATCTGAGAGAAGATCCCAGTAGTATATAATATTTGAACATGAATATTTTCATGATGCATGTACATCGATTGTAATACTATGAAGTCTTTACCTTGCAACAGTAAACAAACCATCTAAGAGTTAACTGACACTTTGGTTTGTTTAATTTATCTCTTCCTCACAATTAGTAATTTAGGAATTGAAAGATTATGGGAATGTGATTTACTATGTAGGCAGTTAATTATGAGATGCAATTTGTTTTCTTGACTAGATACATATTGAAGAAACATAGTATGTAAGTTGCAAGGTTTAAATACCATTGTTAGCTGTGAATTACTTAAGCAGTTTATGCAGACAAAGATTCTAGCCACATAATTCTGGAGCCCTTTAAGTAATGATGTTGTAAATGAAGTATCAATAAATTATGCTTGTACTTATATATTGACATTTTAGTCGCTCCTTTTGGAGAAATCTAGTACATTGTACTAGTGTATTTTGTATATAACTACATGTACTGAGAAAAATATTATGAAAATAGTTGCATAGAGTGCCCATTTAGAAATATTTATGAATCACTTTGGCATTCAAATTGCTTAACTGGCTTGCTGGCCTCCTAGATGGTACGAAGTTGGGATTTTAATATCTCCTTTTTCTTTCTAGATGGTTCAGAACTTTCAAGATGAGAGTTGCTTCTTAGTCACCACAATAAAAGGTATATTATTTTTTGTAATAATAAAGATAACTGGCCTAAGTAGCGTCTAGATTTTTAACTAAGAAGCAGAGTTTTGCACCTAGATATGCCAGCAGTGTTGCTTCTACAAACAAGTAACAGTGCAGCCAAGTAAAGTAACTTGAGGGAAAGAGGTGGAAACTATTGCTTTCAACCCCAAATTAAGAGATTTTTATAATGTGAAAGGTCTAACGCTTTTTCTTTTAGATAAACCTTTAGCTAGAGATTGTTACTTGTTAGATATAAATCCATGCCAGGACAGCTGTCTTGCAAATTTGAGTGAAGTAACCTGATCCACATCTATCCCCAAAATGTCAGTTTAAAACGAACAGTTCACAGGATTTAAGTGTGATTCTATAGCACTGTTTGTATCAGTGCTCACTAGTGTTTGAGATACTCCAATAGTACTTTTAAGTTACATAGGGATGAATTAAAGTTTCAAAGAGAAATATACTACAGTGGGTGATAAAAATTGAAGGTTGTGGCTTTCTATAAAATTTAACTTTTTAGAAAGAATTTGTGTGCAGCTTGATGCAGGACAAATTTCCAAAGGTTAGAGAGCCAACAGCTAGAGCATTATTTTAGGTTGGCATGAATCCCACTTGCGATCTTGGTGTATACGCTATGCTAGTTGGCTGTTCCAATTTACATTTGAATAAAACAAAACACAAAAATCATTTAGTGGCTGCACATGCTCAGGCTGGCATTACATATGTACTTCTTCCTGCTTTCCAGCTTGCTTCATCACTAATCCTAGCTTTTAACCTAGTCTCCTCATGCGTCCTGGGTTGTTGCTTACATGCCTCCAGATGTGTTTTCTAGCTCGTATTCCTTCCATATTTGCGCACGATGGACAATGCCTTACAGCCAATAAATAACAAATCCAAATGCCTTGGATTCATCACAGTATTATATACGCTTCACACAGCGCACAGTCAACCTGTGGAACTCCTTGCCTGAGGAGTGAAGGCTAGGACTATAACAGGGTTTAAAAGAGAACCTTCATTGATTTATCTAGCTAAGTCCATTAATGGCTATTAGCCAGGATGGGTAAGGAATGGTATCCCTAGCATTGCCTGTTAGGTTCACGCCCTCTGGGGCACTTGGCATTGGCCACTGTCGGCAGACAAGACGGACCCTTGGTCTGACCCAGTATGGCCGTTCTCATGTTAAATTTTATTTGGAGGGGGTCTCTTTAACTTCATGCCAGGAGGTTTGTGTCTTTGGCTTGTCATTAATCAAATCTTTGTTACATTTAGATCTTATGGATAAAAATAAAAAAATAGTAGCAGGCATCTGCCATAAATCCAGCTTTTTCCCAAAAAATTTTGTGATGTTGAGTTTCTGTAAATAGTCACTAATTTCTACTCCTAGTGAATCTGCACTTTTTCTACAGATATAAAAATTGTTTTGAAAAATGTTTTTTAGCAGTTCAGTTTGGCTTCAGCAGCTATTTACTGCAGTTGTTTCAGAAGGCCCACGGCTTTATCTGCATCCTGATGTTCTGGGCTACAGGGCAGATGGCTTTCCTATTCTGTATATTCACACACTTGTTTTGCTGATTTACCTGCTTTATTCTCGGATAACTAATCCATTTGCTAATGTTGCTATAGACCACCAAAGAATAACACTATACAATCTACTGAATTTACTTGAAAAAACGTGACAATTTAAAATAACCCTAAATCGTTTCATTCGGGTTCTATTGTTCATCAGTTTTGTGAAGCACAGCATTATAGAACAGATGAGATTTAATGATAAAGCACTAAAAAAAAAAAAAGCTTCAGCAACTGGAGTTGCAGGGGACCCTTTGGTTCTGTGTCAGAACTGATGAAAGAGATCAAAAATAGGAAAGTAGGAGGGACTGCATGAATTGAAATGGGAACAAGGAAGTTCTAGAAATAAAAGTAGCAAAGCAAGTGTCTAGATATTTAAAATTACATTCAAGATAATTTGAGCTTAATTTATTAGCGAGTCAGTGTTGTTGGAAAGTGGTGCAGAATGTGTTATGCTGGGAAAGTTCGCTGTTTTTATTCCAAAAAAGATCAGGAGGTCATATGATAACACAGTATCAAATTAGTAGTTAAGTTTTGCTTTTCAATATGAGCTTCAAGAACTTAAAACAAATTCATGTATCTTCAGTGGCTGGGGTCTTGGGTAAAGGATGCCAGTCTTTCATATAAACCTGTCCTTTTTCTTCTCTGCAGCTGAAAATGGTGAAGGTTTCCATATAATTCTGAAGTGATGGCATAGAGAGAGGTGTGTGTGTATATATACTGGACTGATATTCCAATGCAGAATGAAGTCATGCTTAATGACGATGAAGAACATCCAAAAACTCTTAGGATTGGACTTCACCATATAAAATGTTTCATATTGAAAACACGAGACCTTTCTAATGAGCTGTTTGATAGGTGAACTTTCTTATCACTGCCATAGCTAAGTGTCCTCATAAGAGGTATAATGCCATGACAGCCTATGTACAGGCATGGAAGACAATATAAGCAAAGGTGCTTGCCCTTTATTGAAATAAGGCAAATTATGGCCAGTAGATACAGTTTCTAGAAGCAGTATTGCTTTCCTATTATACTGTGTCCAGTTTGGAGATGAATGTAAACTTATTCTGGGGCATTTACCTTTCTGTGCCAGTTTGTCTATTACTTGCTTGTACCTTATGCTGATTTTATTTTTTGATGTTAGCAGAGCACATAGTAATCTGTGTGGAGACGAGTAGTTAAGATGATAGTGATCAGGTTGTTTGGGTCTTTTGAGAGTAAAGCTGTCAAAACAGCTTCCTTGTGTAAATTGTGTATAAGAGTGTATGTAAGAAATGTAAATGCCAGAATAGGATTTTAATAAGTCCTAGCCAGATGCAATATATGCATGCAGCAAACTGCATTATTGACAGTACCTTATTGAAAGGATTAACATAAATCCTGTGGGGTACGAAGTATTTGTTTTGCTTTTAACAAATTTAATGGAAAAGAATTGCCTATGCATCCTTAATTTTTAGTTTCCAGTTTCTCTAAGAAGCACTGCTGCAGGGTTTTTTTTGTTTGTTTGTTTTTTGCTTTTTAAAATGGTGGGGTTAAAAACAACAAATTGCCAGTAATAATGAGGGTTTTCCTGAGGTGGTGGTTTTTTTTTGGGGGGGGGGGGAATTGTGTGAACAAGGAAATTTGACCCACTGGCACCAAGGGGCTACAACATAGCTTTAAGTACTGTCAATTACATTGCTCAAGAAACACTAAATATACACCACTTAGTCTCTTTAGTAGCAGGTATGTCTTTCTATAATCACTCTTTATGGGCAGGTATCTTGACCTTTTCTGAGATTTCTTTATTGATTCTGTAAATTTTTTTTTACAGTGCCTCTTCCATATGACCTAATACTTATTTCAAAGATAAGCAATGTGCTTTTCAAAATTGAGTTTTTCCTTGAAATTGTCAAATGTATGGCACAGCAATTCAAACATTTAATATTAATGTCCACTTATGAGTTTATTAATTAGGTACTCTGGGGAAGATTTTTCAAAGGCAGAAAAACCCCTTTTAACTCACAATATCCCCTCTCCCTTTAAATCAGTTTGAAAGTTTTGAATGCTGTAGTGCTAAGTGCAAAATCATTCATAGAGAACAAACTACTACAGCATGCAAAATGCTACTTTGATATTATTTAATTCCTTCTTTAGCTGGGTTAAGTTCTTACCAAGAAAGCCTTTCTAAAGCTCTAGCAATTCTGCAAACTTAAATATTTTTCTTTCCTGTTTTTCTACCCAGATCAAATGGAATTTTGTAGACTTAAGTTCGAATTTCTTCTGCCTATAAATGCTTCATCGTTAAGTATTGGTTGGGTCTTCATAGTTTATTGAACTGACAATTATCATTTCACCTCAGCACCATTTTCAAATCTCAAATGTTTTTTTATAAAAGTGGATACTTTCCAATCAAGGATTTTTCCATTTAATTTTAAAGGAATTGTATAGTAGTTTGTCCAGCTCACTTGAAATTGGAATTAAATTATGGCACCAGCAAATTGCTTTTGTTTTAAGATGTACACATTTCAATTTAAGTATAATAAATGTTTTTCAATAATTTTGTAAATGTGCTGCTTATTTTTCTGCTAAAATAGAATTAACATTATCTGCTCTGAAATGCATTACTGCTACTAAGTCAGCTCCCCCAGCAATATTTTAGAAAACAAATAAAAAAAAAGTATGGTTTTTGTCAAGCTGAAATTGAGTTTTTTTCAAGAGTGAAATATTAATGGCTTGCAGTGCTCCTTAATTTTTGAAATCAGTGAAACAGAAGTTCAAGTAAATATTAGCTGATTGTTTATTTGTTTCCTCTATCATTTTTCTTAGTGTAAGCATATGTTAAATTTTGGTTTTTGTACAACTTTAATGCCATAAAAACCTCACAATAAGATCCATAAAAATGAGCCAAACCTAAGGCAACACACAACTACTCATTCTGACAAGTTGCACTGAGTTCACATTTAATTTTGGTCTTCCCCCAATGTTCTGCTAAGAAAATTGTATAAATCCAAATTTCTAAGTGGGAATCTTGGTAATAGAAGTGTATTAATAATATGAAAATTAATCCAGGAATTTTTGCTGTTGCTACAAAGCTGAACCACCAAAGTTTAATACTAAGTCTTTATACCATATTCATAAAGTTTGCGGATCTGCAGCTGTAAAAAGCTGCCTTACATTTTCACATTAACTTTTTAAAACATGTAGTTCTAAACATTCCAGATTCAGTGTGCAGTGTAAATGTACACACTGCCATCTGCATCCAGTTATGTTTTGCCAACAACTTAGACATTCCCCATAATGGTAAGGCAATATTTCCAGTATGTGTGGCTTATTAGAGCTTTTGTCAAATGACTACATCATTTTCAGAATTTAAACACTATCAGTTGACCAGTCTTTTTTAAGCCCAAGATATTTTCCTTTAAAGGGTTACTGTTGAGCCTCGGTACCTAAGTGAGTATACAGATGTTGTGCACACCAACCATTTATTTAGATGGCTTAATATAAAAATGTAGCTCCCCCTTAGACTTGTGGTTTTACATTCAGATTTCACTCTCCATTGTAGAAGGCTTAAATCTACAGCTGAAATTCTGTCCCTACTGCTGTCAATGAGGCCAGAATGTTGCCCTACCATATTTAAAAAAAAAAAAAGTTACAGGTATTAATGTAATTGTCATGTTGAATGCTCAGTTTCTGAAAAGTTTGGCTTCAGTTTTTAAAGGAACAGAAACCACTGCTTGTTCAGGGTCTCAACCATGTCAACTATGTTAAATTACTTAGCCCAGGGGTTTTCAACCTTTTCTCATTTGCAGACCCCTTTGGAAATCTGAATTGTGTGGGGCTCATTGGTTAGAGTACTGGCATAGGATGCAGGAGCCCAGCATTCAATTCCTTGCTCTGTCTCACAGATTTAGGATCTGGCCTAGGGCAAATTAAGTAAGCTCTGTTTTAAAAAAAAAAAAAAAAAGACAGTAATACCCCCAGAGCTTCTGTTTAGGGCTAAATATATTAAATACCATGACAATGAGGGAAGTATAAGTACCATACATAGATATTCTTTCAGCCACTATAGTAAACAGCTCTACCTACTCAGCTAGAGCATATAAAAAAGACCTTTTGTGTACAGGACACAAACTGCCATATCTTTCTTATCCTAACCTACTGGGTAACACTTAAGACTGTTTAGAGAAATATTCTAAACAGACCATTCAACAATGTGAGGAGTGCTCTTTTGTATATGATTAGTTCAAATTAAGAGGTAGTACACCTCTAGAAAACTATTTAACATGTTGGGAGTTTTTGTAGAAATTAAATAAAGCTGTAGCAAAATAGGAAGCTATTTTTCATTATTACTTTCCCTTTTTTGGTCAACTTCTGCTAAAGCTGATTTGTCCTCAAACCTGATGATGTAATTGGTTATGTGTATTGTACAACAGCAATTTGGACTCACATGCTTGAGACCCTGAATTTTTTTTTACACTAAAGAATGCTTACAAATAGGAATATTCAGGTTTAGTGAGGCTTATAGTGTTGGGGCTGTCACTGAGCATCTACAACTCTGAAATACCCCAGTCCACATTAGCAAATGGTACTATGATTGTCATATCAACAGCAGGGATGGTGGAGTAGATGTAAACAAAAAAAAGCATCAGTTACTCCACATCCACATGTAACATTAAGACTTTTTACCTGCAAAAACACCTTTCTTGAGTCAGTACCAGCACAAAATTGGATGACTGTGACATCACTCCTAGGGCCGTTAAGAAACTGACACTCTGCAAGCCACTTGCAGTCTGATTTTGTTTCCATAATTAAAGGAATCTTTCTTCTTCTGCTGATGCTCCTACTGTCAAAGAATAATGCAGCACCTGCAGAGTCGCTGTCGACTACCTCCTACAGAAGGAGGAGGGGTGACTGGAGCAAAGTAGGCATGAACTTTCACATCAGGTAAATGAGCCTGTAGATGAAAATTCAAATGAAAAATGTAACCCAGAAGTATAAAGAGCAAAACCAAACTATTGCTGACATCACACTACTGTCAAAGCTTTTCTTCGTGCTCATATTATCTATATATAGGGCATCCAGGTAAGCCATGGCTTAACCTGCGTTACCTAAAGGCCAAGTCCCAGTGCTTATGTCCAGCAAAACTGGAAAAGTTATGGCATAGGAGTAATAATCTAGAACCTGGCCATTCACTCATCCAACAGCTACCACCTTAAATCTCAGTGACTGACTCCTTTCTGTTGAACTGGTATTTACACTGCTGATGTGGGCTGGCTAACGTTCATTCTGCTCTTAATCACTAGAGGGTGGATTTCTTGCCAGTGAAGAAACAGAAGCAAGAGTTATAGTCTCCTGTACAACCATTCTTTCCCCAGGCTTGCCTCAGCCCTGAAATCAGCAGGGGAGGGAGTGGTGGTACCTTCAGCAGTTCCTGCAAGGGAGAGAGGCAGACTTCATCAATGCAAAGTGATTAATTTGAAAGTGAACTAGCACAGCATTACTGTGTCCCTGGATCAGTACTATGCCCTAAATGCTGCCAGGTGCTCAGCAGACCAGTTCTGTGCTTAAAACACAGGGAGTTACGTAGAGGAGGGGAGACTGATCCTGCAAGGGCAGGGGATGTTAGGTCTGCTGTTGCTAGGTAGATCCACAGGCCTAACTGCCCCTACTACCCAAGTGTCCTATACTTTATTATATCTGCATTGTAATGAGGATGAATGGTTGGTAGAATTCTTTAAATTCTACAGTCCTATAAAAACACAACCCATACTTTAAAAAACGCTGAGGGAACGGGAAACAAACATTAGGAACTAAACAAAAAGCTCCAGCTGGAATCCACATCAGTGGGAGAAAAAATCAGCATGGACAATTATTTTGATACCAACTGTAGCTTGGACTATAAATGGAATTAGGCACTGCGTGGTGATTTTTGATCATATACCCATGGTAGTTCTGATGCCTAAAGTTGGGGGCCTTCTAAAGTATGTTAACCAACATCCTTAGTTTTCATCCTACCTTCCCTTGCTTTGGACTATCTGTTAAGCTACTGTAAGTGTATCCAATAAGTCTCCCTTGATTGCACAAATGACGGTCTTTCCCAAAGCTGAATCTTTAAAAACACAAAACACATACTCTTATTCTTTTGATTCCTGCTCGTGTGACTTGCTGACAGTCATATAACTCAATTCTCTCCAAACTGTGGCAGTTCTCTAGGTGCTCCAGGGTCACATCGGTGATAAGAAGACAATTGTCTAACTCTAGGACCTGGAGCCTTTCATGACCACAGGTACTGTTGCTCAGATGCAGAATCCCATCATCTGTGATCAGTTCACAGTGAGATAAGCTCTACAAGACAAAAGGACAATGAAATGTTTCATTCCATTCTTTTTTTTTTTAAATTGTCCCGTGCAAAAGATCAGGACTAAGAACAACCTCAAGTGACTTTGTATTTGGATTACCATGTTCAAAATACTTGTATTGTTAGTGCCGGTTCATTACTAATCCTTTTGCAGAAGCAAAGAGCCATATTTCAAGTGCTGTCTCCTTAAACCTGAAGAGCAGGAGAAGCAGCTGCCAAAAGGAGCAGCTTAGGGTTGCAGCACTTGAATGACGCACTTAAATCATAATCTGACTTCATCACTACAGCCCCAGGACAGGCACTTTTGTAGCAATGGCCAAACTCAGCACTGTGCTCTCTAGAGATGTAGAAATCCAATTCTGTTGTTACACAGCTCAATTTACTGAAAATAAGGGGCAAAATTACACATTTGCAATGCCAGATGCTGACTTTAGAAAACTAAGAGGAGAGATATGATATTCTTCCAGAACATTCATTACTCTTACAGACCTGCAATTATACAATCTATGTATGAAGAACAATAATGGCTTGATTTTTCTGCAGTGCTAAACTCTCTTCAGCAGGAGTTACGGGCACCTCAATACCTCTGAAAAATCAGAGCTTACATTCAAAACTGCTAGATTTCTTGCAGAATAAGTTACCTATACCGTTGGGTGTCTGATATATGCCACATGAACACTGCAGGCATGTAATAGTGCCTACTCTGGATCCATGCAAGCAATCACCTCAAAGACCCAGGTACTATGCTGAATTAACTGCTTTTTTGGGAGAGTGTTTTAGCCTTTATTTACTTATAAAACTAATGTTTTTTCACCAAGGGCTTATTGACACAGGCCTTATACTGAAGGTGGCAAGAGTAGGTTTAAGAATTGTATTTCAAGCATTCAAAGCACTGGCATTCCCTTAAAAGACATCAGCTTGCACCTGTTTACCTCTCATGTCTGAAGAGAATGGAAAAAGCCTCATGTCCCCCACTCCAGAAAACCATTTCAAGCTGAGCTGGTTCCTGCCTCCTTCAGAGGATTCATGGCCTTCACAGAAGCATTGTCAGGATAACAAGATACCCTTGAATTTTCATTGCAGATACTTTGAGACCCTTGTCAGCTACCTATAAAATAAATGCTCTGCACTGTCATCACCTCTGCAGAAGGGCTTGATGTGTTGAGTTGATTCCATCTTTCACTCTGACCCAGCTCAGAACCATGAATTGTCCATAGACCACCAGCTATCTGCTCTGTGCGCCTTTTTCCTTGATGGAGCACCTCTGGTGCGGAGACCCTTGGTCACGAATGGAAAGTGGGTACACTTTCTAACTCCTCACCAGAGGCAAATAGCAGCTCTCAACAGTCCTTTAGATCCAACAATTGGGAAAGTTATGGGGCACCTGTATCCTTTCCTCAGCCCTTAGAATTTGCTGGAGCAAAAGGTCTAATGTGCTGAGGACTACGACTGTGGCATGGGGTGGATAAAAATTTATTTAAAAATAAAAATAGGATTTTATTAATTTAAATTAAATACAAGGTTATTTAAAATAAACCTATTAAAATTCAATTTGAAATGACAACCTATGTTAATAACACTACATTTACTATAATTTTAAAATCATTTAAATTAAATACTGCTTAATATTATTTGTATGTTTTCTGCCAAGAGTTAAAGAAAGTCAAACCACTGAACTGGGGGAAATCACTGGCTAAGCACCTGGAACCAGAGTTTGTTAAAGTGCTAGTCAACTTTTGACAGCAATAGTCTCTTCTGCGGATACAGAGAGTATATTTGCTTCATTTCCATTTATTCAACAAGTTCAGTTCAATGGCTAGTTCATTCAAAGTTAAGAAACCAAATGAGAGCTAAAAAAACAGAAAAGCTTATTTTCCTCTTCTATCAATGAATAAAAATTAGATGTGAAAGAATGAGATCTATCAGTTCTAAAATCTGAAGGACACAGTAACTAGAAAGAAGCAGTTCAATTAATTAACTACAGATATTTCCTTTGTTTAATAAATCACTTTTAAATAGAAAACATGTTTTGATAAACTGTTTTTCTTATGTATTCAGCACTTTTAAGGTAGTTTTATTTATTAAAAAAATTAAATTGTGTATTTTAATTGAATTTGAATTTCCATCCAAATAGAGGTTGACAAGTTAAAAATTAGAGAGACAAGATAGATTAAGTAATATCTTTCTTTCATTGTGGCTTGAAAACTTGTCTCTCTCACCAACAGAAGTTAGTCCACTGAAAGATATTACCTCAACCATACCTTGTGTCTCTAGTATCCTTGGACCAACATGGCTACAACTACACTGTATACAATAAGTTAAAAATTAGCCATCTAGTAAATAAGAAATGCACCAATCATCATTTTCTATTAAAAATGTAAAAATTAAGAATCTGAATAAAGGTAAATTAAGCTATAAAATTGCTTAAATAAAGGCATATAGATAAATTGCATCCTCATGATTAACAAAAAGAAGCACCTAATTTAGCGTGAAGTTTATAGTTGCAAACAACATATTTTAATAGTTACCAACCTTTATTGGTAATGAACCTTTGTTTAGCAAAATAATTTAAAAAAATTAGAACTACAAATCACAACTGAAATAAATTAAAGTTGCTTATTTAAATCATGATTTACATTGATAATTTGAAACTTTTTGATTTAAATCAGTGGTTCTGAAACTTATTTGATTGTGCCCCCCTTTGTGTCTGTAGTAGTTTACGCTCCCCCTGCCACACAAGTACATAGACTGTTTTAAAAAAAATCAACATGCAGCTCACTACATATTAAAAACAGTAAAGCATTGATTCAAACAGAGCCAACGATCCACTGTAATAAGAGCAAATGCAAAACTGATTGTGGTCAATGCTTACAATTAAATGTACACACCGTATCGTAGCAAATGATGACTATTTCTGGAGGAATCAGCTTTGCTAGTTATTCATTGCTGTGGGTAAAATGTGCACAACATGTTTTTTTTCTCCCCCCTAAAGCTTCTTGCCTCTTGCTCCCTGCCCCCCAGTTTGACCACCTCTGATTTAAATCAATCCATCCTGCTGTGGCAAACCCTTTCGCTTACTTGCTTTGGTTTATGAAGAATTCTTGGCCATTAACAGGCATACACTAGCCTGTATATCCTTAAGATTAGCTTCCTCCTCATCTGTTTTTCCCCTTACTCAAAGTTGCAAAGGAAGAACAGAGACCAGAAAGAGAGGGAGGACTCAGAACTCTCCAGCTCTAGAACTTTCACTGAATCAGTCTGATGGAGAGAAGGGGGATTTCATCCACTTCTCCAGAGGAACCATCTCAGCATTTCCCCTTCAATTCCAGCTGCTTCACGTTGTATTTTCATTTTCTTCACCCAACAGGGTGCAGTGTGTTTTGTATTAGAACATCATGTAATGTATGCATATATTATTATTTTTTAAAAGTCACAAAATGAAAGTGCTTACTCCTGTGAACTCTTATCTTAAGGTCTGTGTTTACGTTCTTAGCTCCTGTTCAGTCTTTGGATGTTTTAGATCTCTTGTTTGCCTTCTCTCTGTATATACTTGTATACATATCCTCCTGAGCACTTATTTGGCTGGCAACCTTGAAATTATCAGGAGTCTAAAGGTTAAAAGCATGGGGGTTTGTGTCCCCCACCGCAAAGTCTATTTATAACAAACCTGTGGTTTTAAGGAAGGAAGGAAGGAAGTTTATATGAAGACAAATGTGACCTTTTGGCTATTGTATCAGTCTACTGGCTAATTAAGAGAGTTTCACATCCTAGGAAATAAGCAGCTTATAAATTCAGCTTTCCCGAGAGATTGTACTCCAGTGACTTGAAACTGAGTAAGACAATACAGAATGTACAGCTAAATTCAGAGACTTTATGAAGCAAACATACCTAATGTAATATTCTGTATTAAAGCACAAGATACTTCAGACTTGATAATCTGGTTGAAATAGTTAACAAGATAGAAAGCGTCAGGTTTACAGTTTAAAATCTTAGAATACAGAGGGCTGGTCAACTTTTTGGTTTGCTATTTAGAAATAAATGTTAGGTACAAATCAAATTAAGACAAAGTTTGTTGAGCTAGCTGAACAACAAATTATTAGCAAACAAAATAACTGAAGAGATAAGCTTCTTTTTCTGCTGATGGAATATCCATAGACCAATTACAATTTCTCTGGTGTATTTGTTTGTTTAAAAAAAATCACATAAAACTGTCAAATGCTTCTGAACGTCTACAAATTGATTATATAAAGTATTGGAGTATTTGAATTCTGCCAAGTAAGTTTGTGTCTCTGTTCCCTGATTTGTTCTGTAAGGAAACACTGGTGAATTTAAAATTTGATTTCTGCAACTTTGAAATGCACTTTGTAAATATTTGTGTCACTAACACTCAATTGGATAAATGTTCACAGAAAGCAATCACAAAGAGTTCACAGCACAGCTCAAGTGAATTAATTTAAAACTTTAAATTAAGATTAGTGGGTTTTTTTTTTTTTTTTAATTGTTTTTTCCAATTCACCTGATGGTGTTCTCCACACAATCTGCCTGAACATTTTGTAATGTTCTCTGCTACACACAGGATAGCATTGGGCAGGAAATTGAATTTTTATTTCTAAACAATCACAGGATACATGGTTTCTGTACTATAAAGGTGCCATAATATATATATTAACATTGTACCAGTTCTCAGCCGATAGACTGTGACCTTCAAGTAGGTCAGCAGGTTGTCTGAGGCACAGGATATCACAATCCTAATACCTGTGAAGTAGGTTGTTAAAGGAGGAATAACATCCATAAACCATAATTGCTGATTTCTATGTCTCCTTTGAAGTACTGGGAGAGGCACAAAAAATTCTTGTATGTACCTGAGGAGGACTGGTTATAAATGGGATTATGATATCAAAAAGAATACAATACTGTAATTTCTATAGTAATTACTCCTCTCCATTCATTTTGATCCCTAAACTGAGTTTTATTTCTAAACTTTCCTTTCTATTTCAAGTAAGTGATGCTATAGCATATCGTTCCCAGCCCCAAGGACAGATGGCTTTATCAAGAGTTCTTTATAAAATGCTATCTCTAGTCATACCAAATAGACTGTCAAATGATTAATCTAAGTAAGGCTACAATGAGACTATCAAATGGAATCGTAATTCTTTATAAAGTAGATTCCCTCTGCTGAATGGGATTGCTAAATTACAATGTATGTTAAAGTTCACTATTTAATAGGAAACCAATAAACATTTTGGATTGACTGACCCAGATTTGTGCAGTTTAAAATATCTTTGGATATAAATGATCCTATGAAGATTCAGAGATGGGACTGAAGCCATTTTCAGTACCGTGGCACATATAGGCAAACATATTCTTATAAAGACTGACATGTAAACAGTTCCTTGTCTATTGGTAGACTACTTCATTCACTGAAGTGAAGCATACAATGTGTGGAATTATGACCTAGGAATAGGATGGGATGGGATGATTAATCTGCAGATAGCAGTGGATACAGTTCCTTTTTAAAGTCAAATCTCTTCCTGAGCCTGCTGCTGCCTTAGTAACACACTTCCTCGAGCTGAGGGTGTGGAGGAAGTCAATGACATGGCTACGCAATTAACAAAGAAGTAAACATTTCCTTAATCCCTCCTAAGCATAGATTAGAAAGTATATCTATTTTCTTCAGGTAGATTTAAGGCAGTATATCATAATGAACAGTGACCTGCCACACATGAAATACAACACCCTTCCTTATGCCAAATGGTAGTGTGACAGTTGGCTCCAAATGCCCAGGCCTAAATTTTCAAAACCCACTAGTGATTTGGGGTACCTCAATTTCAAAGTGGCCAATCTGAGTCACTTTAAGTGGCCTGATTTTCAGAAAATGAGCACCACCCTATGAAAATCAGATCCATTTAAATATCTCAAGTTGGATTCTTTAAAAATGAGGTACCCAAAATACCTAGTCACTTTTGAAAATGGTAGGCAACAAAAACTGACAGCTACTATAAACCCACTGCTGCGAAAATCACACACATGACTGTTCACAGGATTGGGCCATATCTGTATACAATTTTGCTAAGCAATTACCCTTTTTCTAATTAATCATTTGATCTGTTTCAAAATATACTGTATATTAAAATTTCATGATTTCCTAGAAAAATCTTTAGAGATAAAATATGTAAGAGAGCATCTTTAAATATTTTTAAACTGTCTCATGTAGCTTTTTATTCTGACTAATTGCTCACGAGTAAAGGATGGTTACAGGTTCATTATAACATTTAAGCCATTTTTCTGATTATATTGGGATTCGTGGATTGCTTTTAGACGATCTACTTACAGTACTTGATGCCATATTTAAAATAGTCTTAGAAATAAGCTTAATTTAAAACATATTTTATAAAAAAGTATAAATTGTAGTGTTGTAACACAACAAAAAACTAGTAGCTACAGGCTGAGAGCCAATCCTTATTATTAATAGATATATTATAAGAGTTAAACTCACCAATGCTTGCAGTTTAGGACAGTGAACAGAAAGTTGTATCAATGTGTTATCTGTTATCTAGGACGAGAAGAAACCAAACAATTGGCTACATAAATGCAAAGTTATAGACTGGCTTATACATAATAATAGAGCTGACTAGCTGAAAAAAAATCCACTTTGTTCAAGTAGCTGAACATGTACACTTGGGTTTAATTTTATTCCATTCATACCCTTCTGATCTATAAACCCATAAAGAGGATAAAAAAATAAAGTTGTCCCCTTTTCCCAAATTTTATCTGAACAGATGGATGAAGAGCTTAAAATGTAGGAAAACAGTCACTACATGCTGAATTGAACTTAGTCTATCACCAAGCTATTTGGATAGATTTGTCATCTTGCCAATTGTCAGAGAGGACGTGAGATGGAAAAAAAACCCACCACCTTTTTTTCCAGCAGAGAGGGTTTTATAGACTTTCTTAATGGTCCAGTAAATTCTGCCATGTTTTGTTCCTTTGCTCATTTTTATCATTTGATACCATAAACAACAGGTTTGTAACCCAATCTCTACATCAAAGTTAGGTATTGCTCTCTGCCAGATGACGGTTCTGATATCAACTGGTCTATTAGAGACTTCTCTGGGAAATGGATAAATGTTTGTAATCACCTTTCTTTGAATTCCCCTTTATACAGACCTCCCAATAATTATCTGCATTTACTATCAGAAACATTAGAATTTGGAATTCCCCCATTGGTAAAAAAAAAAAAAAAAACCAACAAAGACACCGATGTTTTGAATGGCTTTACAGGTTCTTATAATGGACTTATGATGAATACGCCTTGTAAAACGGATTCTCACCAGAATGCACTCTTCTAAGTCCATCTTTTCCAGTTCGTGGCAATTCTAAAAAATTAAAATAATAAGAACAAAAAAAATACCACAAGTAAGAGGAAGGGTGGTAGTTTGATCTTGAATTCTAATGGGTGGTCCTAACCGCATCACCATTAATACTGGGTCACAGACAAAGGGAGAAAGAATATTTGGTTACTACAGTGTTTCAGGCATCCATGCTGGCTTTTGCCATTATAAAAATGGTTACATACCTGTTTGGTAATTGTTGTTCTTTAAGATGCGTTGCACATGTCCATACCACTTTAGGTATGACCTGTCGGGGCAGCACATGTGATCTCTGCATGCTTGTGCTGCTAGATGAAAGTATAAAAATATGGAGCTGCCCTGACTCCTCCCTCAGTTCCTTGACACTGGAAGCCAGTATTTGCTGTGCCTCCAATGTAGAAGGGAAGGAGGGAAGGTCATGGAATGAACACGGGAACAATAGTTTTCAAAGAACAATAATTACTGAACAAGTACGGAACTGTGTTTTCTTCTTTGAGTGATTGCACATGTCCATTTCACTTTAAGTGGCTCATAGGAGTCTGATGAAGGAGAGTATCAGAGTCTACTTAAACAAGGACTGCAGCACCACTCTCCCAAACCTAGCATTGTAACTAGAGGCCTGGGAGAGAGCATAATGAGCAACGAGCATATGAACAGATGACCAAGAGACAGTCTTGCAAATGTCACTGATGGGAACATGACCCAGGAAAGCAGCCAAAACTGCTTGAGCTCTTGCAGAGCATGCTAAAACACTCTGAGGTCATGGAACATTGGCAATATCATAACACGGATGTGGGAGGGAGGAGATCCAGGAAGAGATCTTCTGTAATGTAACGGGCTTCCCTTTCACCCTATCAGCAAAAGAGGCTAATAACTGCAGTATCCTAAACTCTTTAGTCCTGTCCAGACAGGAAGCCACAGCTCTGCAAACATCTAAAGTATGGAGCTTTTCCTCAACTTTGCATGAGTGAGGTTTGGAGGGAAAAAGTTGGTAAGTACAGTCTGATGAATATGAAAATCCAAAAGCGCTTCTGAGAGAAATTTAGGGTGTGAATGCAAACCAACTTTGTCCTTGTAAAATACCATCTAAGGAAGGTCAGCCATCAAAGCCTGAAGTGCTCCTGGCCAAAGTAATAGCTACTTGGCATGCTACATTCATCAAGAGGTGAAACAATGAGCACGTAGCAATAGGTTCAAAGGAGGCCCCATTAAAACTGAGAGAACCAAATTTAGATCCCAGGATGGAGTTGTGTCTCAAATACGTGGGAAAAGCCTATCCAAACCTTTCAAGAACTTTATAATCATAGGGTTGAAGAAAACAGGATTCCACTATCCTATAGATGAAAGGGCTAAGATAGCAGCCAGATTAATCCTCAAGGCACTGACAGAAAGACATTTCTCCTTTAGGTGAAGCAGGTAATGAAGAATAAACTGAATGGGAACCCATAAATGAAAGGTAACTTTCTGCTGGGACCACACAGAGAACATCTTCCATTTTATGAAGTATACCTGGTGGAGGGCTTTCTGCTATTCAAAAGCATGTTTCACATTGCAATAGAACAAGTAGACTTGTGAGTAGTTAACCACTAAACATAACCAATCAGGTGCAGGCTCAGAGGGCTGGAATGCAGTTTGGCCCTGGTTCTGGGAAACTATGTCTGGAACCTGAGGAAGGATTATGGCAGGGGTGGCCAACCTGTGGCTCTGAAGCCACATGCGGCTCTTCAGAAGTTAATATACGGCTCCTTGTATAAGCACCGACTCCGGGGCTGGAGCTACAGGTGCCAACTTTCCAATGTGCCGGGGGGTGCTCACTACTCAACCCCTGGCTCTGCCACAGGCCCTGCCCCAGTCCCCCCTCGCCTGAGCTTGCAGTGCCCTCGCTCCTCCCCTCCACCCCCAAAGCCTCCTGCCCGCCACAAAACAGCTGATTGGGAGGTGCGGGGAGACGGCGGGACTGCCGGTGGGTGGGAGGTGCTGGGAGTGGGAGCTGATTGGGGGCTGCTGACATATTACTGTGGCTCTTTGGCAGTGTACATTGGCTCCTTCTCAGGCTCAGGTTGGCCATCCCTGGATTATGGGATCTCGAATTGAAAGGTTCAACAGGTCTGAAAACCAGTGCTGTCCAGGCCAGGCTTCTGCTATCAAAATTAAACAGCATGATCTTGCCTGAGTTTGCCCACCACTCTCAGCACCACAGGGACTTGGGTGGTGGGAGGGAAGCGTTAAAAAGTTTCCCCTTTCAGGATAGTAGAAAGGCATCTGATACGGACCCTGAACCGACACTCATCCTGAAACAGAACTAGTGACATTTCCTGTGCTGTCAGGTAATAACCACGTTCATTTCTGGCATTTCCCACATCTGAAAAATGGACTTTGCTATGTCAGGTCTGAAGGGACCATTTGTAATCTCTTCTGAACAATCTCCTGAAATGGTACACTAGACAGTTCTGACACTGGGGAAGGTGAGATGCTTTGAGCATAATTTTGTTCTTGATGCAAAAAGACCAGAGGTTCATTGCTTCTTGGCAAAAGAGGTCTGACCTGGTACCTCCATGCTTGTTAAGGCGGAACATAGCAGCAGTGTTGTCTGAGTACTTGTATGGAACAAGCCATAATGTGGGAAAGAAATACTTAACAGGCCCCCAAATTACTGCAATAAAATCAAATAACCCAGAGAAAATATAAATACAAGAAGAACTAACTGACCTCCCCATATAGTTCACACAGAACTATTATCCAGCCCTGCCGAACCCTCATCTCCTCACAAGCCAGGGGAAAAGGTGCATCTTGCTGCACATGCTAACAAATTCGGGATGTTACAGCCCTGATAAGGAAGCATGTTCCAAAGGTCTAGAGAATACCCGCCAACTGCCCGCTATGCCCATGGAACTAAAATAGCTCTTGTTCATATCAAATGTTTGTTACACGACTTCTATTTAAATAAAAACATTTTTGTGCTTCGTTTTATTTAAAATAAACCTTACACAATTTTATAAAAGAGTGAAACAAAAATTAGATCCATTAAAACAGAAACCTTTTCCCTTTAAATATTCAGTTCCATCCAGGCCCTTAATCAACACAGTAAGTCTGCTTCTAACTTTAAACGCTACAGAAGTCTCACTGAAGTCAACAGGCATGAGTTAAGGCTTAACTGAAAATATTATCTAGATATATTTTGCAGCAATAATTGATACACAGAACAATCTGCTATAAGGAGACTTTCTGTACTTAGGAAGCCTGCTTGCATTATATTTTATAGTTATAGGCTTTAAAATTATTTTTCTATATATGAAAAATACAGGTGACTAAATTTAAATACTTTTTAGAAAAAAATAAAAAGAGCAGGGGCGGGGAAGGAAGAAATCCACTGTAAAAAATATTCCAAGCTCCAGTTATTTGTAAATATGTTCCAGAAATAAAATCAATTATTTTGGTTCTTTCCTGGCCACCTCCTCTAAGGGACCTCTCGTCTACTCTACTTTCTTTTCATCATCCCCAACATGACTGGATAAATTCAGATATGTACGGTAGCAGTGAAAATTAGGTAAACTGTACATTTTTAAAATAATCCTTACCCGTGCTAAAAGTGTAAAACCTGCATCTGTCAGGTGGGAACACCTTGCAGCTTCCAAAATCCTGAAAAAATAATTGTTTTCAACATAACAATATTAGTGATACAGTAATGAAAAGCAATTACTTCTTTTTATTTAAATCTATTGTCAATATGTTGTAACATAAAACTGATTTGAACCAAACTCATAAGTCCATTTTGCAATTTTAAAAAAGGCAGGACTGATTTTTGATTCAGCTAATCAGAAAGATGTTCAGGCTACATAGCAGAATTAAATTATGTACAATTAAGAATTATACCTATGGACATTTGTAAAGAAAAAAATTTACAGTGAATTCTTGTACTTGTAAGGCTATGTATATACTTATTGTAATACTCAAAACTGTATTTTGAAAAATACCATTTTCACTGCACATCTTATTCCCGATACACAAAGAAATAAATTCATTAGACAGAAGTGGAGTTTCTATGTTGGGGAAGAGTACAGAAAGAGTATACAGGGAGGAATTTAGGAAAGTGCAGGTCAAGCCATCACAATGTGCCTCCAATGTTCTATTTGTTGTCAGGTTCTTACATTAAGCATTTTGGCTTCAGGTGTCAGAAAGCAAGGAGACAAACAGCTGTCAAAGCCAAAACGTAAAGCCAAACCTACCTGATTCAATCTTCCAGAAACAAATATAGAAATATATTAGGAAAAAACTCATCACCTGAGAAGCAGTCCCGTAGGAGAGGTGTGAGTGAAGCAAGATAAGAGAAAAAAGGAAACTTTGACAAATAATACCAGTACGTATGGTTTTCATTGTAGTACTTCTGCTCTTTCCTTGTTCAGGTTTACACTAAGCAGATAGTAGTGAGCAGTGAGACTAACAAGGAGAGAATGTCACAGAGTAACCACGAGCACAAAGTCCCCCATTCAACACAACAGCCACTTCCTTTATGTTTGACAGAAAAATTCATAAAGGAGAGAGAAAGGAAATAGACTAAGAGACTGCTGATTTAGATTTCTCTGTCTAAATGTAGCCACAGATAGCATTTAAGAGGTAGCTAGAACTCAAGTGTTTCTCTTCATGGACAAAGAGGAAAGGGATATCATCCCATATCCATTGGATAAATGTGATCTTACAGGATTCATACCTTCTCTGGGTCCTGAGAATGTGTAGAGGGCTTGGTTAGACTAGTCTAGCAACATGCTCAGGAGAAACTAGCATAGGTATCAAAGCTGAGAGGTAGGCTATCAAAATTTGCGTTTCTACCATAATGCATTACACATCTAGTATAAGTTTTCAAAGTACTAACCATAAAGCACTATTCAGAAATGCCTCAAAATCTCATCTCTCTCCCAGCAGGGTTGCTGAGTAAATATTCTCTTAGTACAGGAACCCTTTTCTATCAATAGGGCTATATTGAACATCCATATGTCCTTCATAGGTTTCTCAGGCCCACATTCTTCTTCAAGTGATGGTCCGTATATGGATTCCAAACATGGGTGCGCAGTTTTTGTAGTAGTTTGCGTTGACCTGCACATCCATGTGGGTCATCCATATGCTCGCATCTGAGGCTATCAGAGGCCGTGAGGGTTGACACCGCTCCAGTTCTCTCTTATCACCACATGGCCAGAGTCAGAATCCCTGTTCCTCAGTGCTTCTAGCCTTGCTAAAAGAGATGCTTGTCTGTTTTTCCAGTATATATAGTTTTATACAGATGTTTACCATGTAGATTCCTAGTTGATCCTCACTAGACCCTTCCCCCATCAGGGAGATTCCCCCCTCCGGGGATTATGCCCCGGCTAGCCGGCTTCAAAAACTGTGCTTCATGCCTGCATTCCTTCTCTGTGAGCGACAAGCACCAACGGTGCCTCTACTGCCTCAGCAAAGCTCACATCATCACCTGCTGCTCCATCCGCCGCTCATTCCTGCTCAGAATGAGAGAAGTGAGAGAATTTCGCCTCCATAGGTTTCTAATGGAGGAACTTATGCGCCCACATGCGCAGTCAGATCCAGACCAGCAGATCACCTCCAATCACCACCATCCATCCTCCATCTTCCTCCAAGGCGCCAAACCCAGAGGTACTGCCGCAGCCGCAGAAGCCCACTGTGAGCATAAGAAACATGGACATGGGCATAAGGTTGGCTCCCCAACAGGGACTGCCCCTAAACACAGTGTTGCCTTCCTGAGCCATGCCAAGTCGGGTGAAAAGTCATGCACCAACCAGACTGCTCCAGCTCCCAAGAAACCCCAGACGGAGCATAACTTGAAGTACCGATGTGATCCGCTGGTGTCACCTCCGGCCCCAGTCACTGGTCCAGCACCCTTATCACTTCTGGCACCAGTGATGATGCCGGGCCCCTCCAGGTCACCACGCATGGTTCCCTGCACACCTGGAACCACTGATGCCTACTGCGGAGCTGTTGCTCCCATACGTTCCCAGGTTCCCCACTACTGCCTGGTCCCCCATCCACCACTGAGCTCCCTTCTCTGGTGGATGAACCTTTCTGTCTTTTCCCAGCACGATGCATATCTTCCACCCATCTTGCACCAGCGGCTCCACCCCTATTAGACCTGTCCTCCATCTCAGAAGACTTTTCAGAGTTGGATTCCCTCATTCATTCTCACCCGGCCAATCTCACAGCCCATATCCCAGGCGCTAACCATCCTATCTACTGGTATATGACCTAACTTCCGACCCCGGGCTCCACTATCCCTGAGGTCTGCCAATACCTGGCAACCTGTACACTTGGCCTCACTGGCCTTCTTGGGACCACTACCAGGACTGTGGACTACTACTGGTAGCCTCTTACCAAACTGGCCACATACCAGACCTTTCTCAGTTGACGACGAACCAGAGGACGCTACAGTACAGCCGGTACCATCAGTACTGCCAGTCCCCACTGTAGCCTCGTTGTCACCAGACGAGACACTAATTCCGCCTTCCCTCTGGATGACCATAAACAATACCACAACCTGCTTCAGCAGCAGCTCTTGGCCTCCCAGTGGAGGAAGACCAGGACACATGAAACCAGCTCCAGAATACCCTGAAACTGCTGGGACCCTCTCGCACTGCCCTCCACATCCATGGGGCCATGCTGCAACCAGCACAGTTGGTCTGGCATACACTGGTATACACCCTACTCCTAAGCGGCAGAGTGGCGATACTTCATTCCATTGAAAGGAACAGACTTCCTTTTCACCTCCCCATTCCCAACTCACTGGTGGTTCACACGGCGATGGAATGCACTTGCCAACAACACCTGAAGTCCACCCTCACAAACACCTCCCACCCCGGACAGAGTGGCAAAGAAGCTGGACCAATTCTGCATCACCAATTACAAGGCCATGTTGGCAAAGTACAACTTTCTCATGTACTGCAAACTTTCCGAGTTTCAGGGTTTTCTTCTGCCAGACAAACAACATTAGTTCCAGACACTTGATGAGGGCAAACTGGTTACTAAGGTGAGCCTCCAGGCAGTGGTTGATGCCACTGACACCACCTCACGCTCACTGGCAACCGGAGTCGTACCCCGACGTGACTCATTGCTCCAATCATCCAGACTTCTCTTGAGGACCTCCCCTTCAATAATCAGAAACTTTTTAGTGACAGGACGGACGAGTCCCTGCATTCACTCAAAGACTCTCGCGCCACTCTGCGGTCACTTGGCATTTACACCCCAGCCTCTTCCCACTCTACTTCCAAAGACAACAAGAGCCATCATCAGCATGCTCAGTAGCCCCATTATTCTGCTACTACAACCTCCGCACCCTCAACCCTCCTGCTATGTCAGTCTAAGCAACAATTTTGACACCCTCACCAAGACTCGTAAAAGTCTCCCTACCCCTCCATCTTGCCCTCTTTGCCCACAATTGGGGCAAGATCACCACAGACCACTGTGTACTGGACATCATTCACCAGGGGTACTCTATAGAATTCCTCACATTCTCCCTCCCCCCATTGCCTGCCCCACACTGGCTGTGGAGATCTTCTCCGAGGGGAAGCAGATGCCCTTCTCCAGAAAGGTACCATTACCATCCCCCTCCATTCCAGGGCTGCAGCTTTTACTCCCCATATTTCCTTATTCTGAAGAAGGGAGGCGGCTGCCACCCCATACTCAACAGGTTTGTATGAAAATTCAAGTTCCGGATGGTCATGCTTCCCCTCATTATCCCTTTTGTCTCCCACGGAGCCTGGTTCATGGCTCTCAATGTGAAAGATGCATATTTCCACATTGATATTCACCTGGCTCATTGGAAGTTTCTCCGCTTTATGGTTGGTCACTCCCACTATCAGTTCCATGTCCTCCCCTTTGGTATCGTCCCCAATCCACATGTATTCACAAAAGTCTTCACCATTGTCGCAGCCCACATGCTATGCCTCTGCCACTCCGTGTTTCCCTACCTAGACGACTGGCTCCTACTGGCAACTTCACGCAACCACCTCCTCTGAGCTATCCAGATTCTTTGCGATATCCTCACCAATCTGGGCATTTGTATCAGTGGGGAGACGTCCATCCTTGTTCCTACCCAACAGATCACATTTATTGGGGCATGCCTGCACACTCTCGTGGGTCAGGCTTTCCTCCTGGCAGATCGATTTACCATCTTTACTTCTCTCATCTCTTTACGCCACAAACCACACACCTGCATCTGCAAATGCCTTTCCTTCCTTGGCCACATGGCAGCCTGCACATCTGTAATGCCCCATGCCCACCTCTATATGCGCTGCCTTCAACTATGGATCAAATCAATCTACAAACTGGAGACAGACCGCTTGCAAGTCTGTCCCTCTCCCGTTTCGTCCTGGCCTCCCTCACCTGGTAGACTGACCTGTCCACGGTACTGATAGGCACCTTGTTACATTTCCCACCTCCTGCACCACTCTAACTATAAGGGGTTGGGGCACCCACCTGGATGCTCACATGGCCCAGGGCCTTCCCCTCATATGATCACGTCACATTTAACTGCTATCCGACAACATGGTGGCAATTTTATATATCAACAAGCAAGGCACTGTCAGGTTGCCCCCTCTGTATGTGGAGGCCATCCAACTCTGGAACTGGTGTATCAGATACAA